TTTCTAAACTTATTTTTTTTCTGAAACGAACACTGCGAAAATTATCTTTTTAATTATTTTTAATGTTTTTCACATTACTATTATTATTTGTATTGTATTACACTAAAAAGTAATTTTACAAAATAAAAAGAAATATATGAACATATATATTTCACATATGATTATATATGTTTATGTATGTTTATACATATTTATACATATTCATGCATAAAAAATTGTTTACCAATATCTTAATAACTATCTTAATAATATATTTATTTAATATATCGTATATCTATTTATTTTTTTATGCCAATTCTGCGTAGATTTTATTCAATGAACTTTTTATTCAAATAAAATATTCGATTGAAATGAAGTACAGATATCTGTACGCAATAATATTATAAAGATTATAATAAAAATTTCTTGAAATATACTTACGAAGCGTATATTCTCCAGTTACGAAAAATCCAAATGCGGCAACACTGTAAATTGTACTAAGCGCGTAGAATAACATGTTCTTTATTTAGTATTTCAGTGAATACTTCGATCGATTGAAAACACTGACTTTTATATATCTTTGCAAGGCCAATAAAGTCGAATGACTGGCAAGATAATAACAAATAAAAAAGTTTACCTTCAATCAGAATCAATGTGAAGCTGTATTATTGCATACAGCAGTTGATTACAATACATTTATTAATCATATCAGTGTACAAAAGAATTAATATAATAATATTACAAATAATAATGTATTCATATTATCTCAAAAGTATTCATATCTGATATTACTGCATCAAGGACAGGACTGAGTAATATTTAAAGTAGTTTCTGTTAGCGCGAATATATATAACGTTCCTATGAACAGCCTTGATCACACTGCCATCTTTTTGTATCACGTAGGAATTTGTGTAGGAACTATTTTCCGTTCTTCCCGCGCGCTGTCTGTTTCCTTCGTTATATACACACATTCATAATCATTCTCACCATTCAACAATATCATCAACAGTATCAACAATGAAGTGTATTTAACAGCATCTTTAGCATTGTCAAAGCTTTCCTTTCGATTCGCTTTCTAGTGTGATGTAATAATTCCATTTTAAATATGTATTTAAAATGGAAATGGCATTTTTCATTTTACATTTGAAATAAAATGTCTATCATTTAACCATTTATAAAATAGGTAAATGGTTTTTCTATGTTTTCACAAATTTTCCCCAGAATTATTGATAAGAAGAACCAAGATCTATTGGTCAAAGATTTTTATGAATATCCAAATAAATTAAATTGTAAAGAGAAAATTAATTTCAGATAGTTCATAAATATCTTAACAAAAAATGAATGTTCCAGCTTTGTGTAAAATATTATATACATTTCTAAAAATGTAGATATATTATCTATTAATCTAATTTTGATCGTAACCGGCGCTTCTCGAATTAATTTGATTTATTCAAGTGAACAGTCCTATTTCCAAATCTTAATATTAAAAAATTTTAAATATTCTTGTAAGAAATACTTTATTTATAATACTTTATTTATAATACTATAGTCCTTTCATATTCCATTGAATGGATTTCAAAAAAATATTTTTAAAAAATGTATATCTCCCTAGCAGAAAGTTTTTACGAAAAATTACATAGATAGAGACAAAATCTTAGTTTGTCATAGATATTTGTACACAGTACAAATTTTGTGTTAAATTTAACATATTTCATATGTAAATAGTCCATCCAAATTATTGGTAGACCATTTACATAAATTATATTAATTTAACATTTAATGAATAATGTATATATTAGAAAGTAATGTTATGTAAAAAATTAATACAAGAAGTAATTCTTTGAATTTAAAAGTAAAATTAAATTGACACATTTATATTAAATTTTAATAAAATTCGATGTTATTTTTACATTTTTAATTTATAGGCGATGCCTATGCGATATTTATCATATGCAATATATAGATTTAATTATTATATTTACAAAAAAAAAAATAACACAAAATATTTGTACCTTTTTACATATAAAATATGTAACTACTTATGTAGAACATATTTCTTTAATAAAATTAACATTTATAATATATTAAATTAATATACGTTTTATTCATTTATTTTTAAAAATTATATTTTAAGACTACATTACTTTTATATTATTTGTTTACTTATCTATAAATTGT